CAGCTGCGTGCTCCATGGGGAGGAGCCTCAAAATAGAAAGGCACATAGGCACTGCAAGCCTTGACCCAGAATGCTCAGAGCTACACCATAAATCCAGCTCTCCTCAGTGCAGTGGGGCTGTGATGAGACTGAGAAATCCTCAGGGGTCCTGTGTGTTTCCACCTGAGTAGCAAAGACAAACATTTCCCATTGCCCTTCTGAGCCAGTGCCAATCTCTTATCATTAAAAAAATTGCTAACAGAAGTTATGCCCTGTGTGGTTTACACAGCGTTTATATCTACATCTTGTTCATTGTCATCCAGAAACCCTGACATGGCCAGAGGGCAGATTATTAACCCTATTTTCTTGGTGCAGAGACTGAAACCCAGATAGTCATGCAAGGTCTCAGTGTCAGGAACAACTGCCTCCCCCATAACCTGTCCTTGGATCACCTGATGCCTGGAAGTGGGGCCACATCTGCAACATGCCCACAGCCTCTGTGGAGCAAGGAACACTGAACTTCTTCTCTGGGCTTCCAAGAGGGCTGTTTAGACAACTCAACCCAGGTCCCAGCTGGCTGTCCTGACCTCCCTGTGGGGGTGTTTAATCCCCTTGGCTTGCTGCTCTCAGGCTGGGTAGTGGATGATGGTGGCCAGAAGGTTCCAAGGAGCTACCATGATTAAGTAAAGATGCTTCTTGTCTTTCTCTGGAATACAATCTCTAGACATTCTGAGACTCTGTTTTGCCCCCAAGCATCATTCCATACAGCAGAAAGCCTAACTATCTGAGCTCCTAAGCTGGGAATGGGAAGCAGCAGAGAGGGAAGAGCTTTGTAGTACAATTACCTGTGTTTGTAGTCTGAATTTCCCACCCACTGACTTGTGTAACACTAGAAAAGTCCCTATCTTCTCAGAAACTCAGTCTCCTCACTGGTGAAGTGGAAATATTAATCCCCATGTCCCTGGAGTAGATGAGCTAATTCGTACAAAGTAGCTCACATGAGAGTCATCAACCATCCTCTCCTCATGGTTGCAGAGCAGGACAAGTAGAACTACAGAACAGGACAGAGTTGTTCCCAATGGAGGCAGCCTAGAAATCGTTTGCTCCTTGACTGTGAACTGCTGTAGTTCAAGATCTAGCCCATAGGAGGGACCCCGGAAATGGGGTTTCTAGAGGAAAGGGGCTTGCTGAAGGTCTCACAAAGCGCTGCTTACAGCCCTGGAATCAGATTCAAGTTCTCCTTACTGACTCCTTTTCTCTGTTTACAACAAAAAACATGTGCCCCCAAGGATATTGGATACAGGCTCTAAACCCAATCACACACTGCAGCAGGAGGTGAACAGACCTCTTCCCCCTGGATATTTCTAAGGTCATCAGTGTAAAGAAGATGGCCAGTTAAAATGAGGCCAGTATTTTTGTATCCATCCAATTCTCCACATTTCTGGTTACACTTGGGCCTTCTCTCTCCTCCTTCTTCAGCTCCACTTTCACTTAGAGGTAAGAAGAAGAAGGGATGGAAAGTTGATTTTGGTCATACTGTGGGTGGAAAGCAGGATGCACTAGTGAAAACTCAAATGGGGACACTTGATGTAGCTCCCCACTTTCTTGATAGGCATCTTTCTGTTGGTCATTCGATTTCTCAGACCTTAATGTCCTCATCCATAAAGAGGGAGAATGGTTGGGAAGTTCAGAAGGAATACCCCCTATGCCAATTTACTGTAACCTATAGAGTGAGCCATTTATTGTCATTAAATGACAAGACACAAAAAATGAGCAATGAACAGTATCTCCTTCCTTCTCCAACTGCCTGTCTAATGTCCTCAGCAACCTCGTTTTGTCTGGCACTGCCTTGTGAACAGAATAGGTGGCTGCTCAGACCTGGGAAATATTTGCAACATGTGGTGAGGTATCAACTAAGACAGATGATGTGTGATGTGCACACTGGGTTCCAATTCCATGCAAGCCCCAGAGCACTCACATCTGAAGTGCTAATAATTTAGAGATTCTCACACTAATACTCAATCGACCCACTGATCTGGGGGAGGAATGGAGAACTTAATTCAAAGAAAAGGATCAAACATTCTCCTTCTGCCTCTTGTTAAAACTGCATATACTAACTACAGAGATTGGATGCCTTATTAACCTTGAGTGGATGCCCAAATGTTCAGTGATTTTGGCCAAGTTGCTTAATCTCTCTGAGCCTCAGTTTCTTGGCGATAGTCTTTTCATCTCAGGGTTATTCTAAGGATTACAGGAGGTAATGCCCCCTCCTCCCCAATGCTTAGCAAGTGACTGCCACCTAGTCAATGCTTAATTAAAGGTGGCTATTCTTATTCCTGGTTCACTTGACCTCAAGGAGGACAAAGGATGGGCAAAACCCCATAGGTAGTTAGGGTCAGAAGCTCAGGTGTCCTGAGCCCTGGTCTTAGGCCAAAAAAAAATCATCACATCATGTAGATGTTTTCCTGCAAGGGTGCTGTCAGTTATTCACATGGAAATCCCAAGGTTGTTTACAAGAACTCTCCTTTGAAACTGACAGAATTTTATTAACAGACCTTGACTTGAAAATTGGTTTGTTGTTGTTCTGTTCTGTTTTGTTGTTGTTGTTGTTAGTTTGTCTTTGGGGAAAGGACAAGAGAACCAGGTAAGCTGAGTGTCTAAATCAGATTTTCATATTGAGGATGATAGTAGGGTGGAGGAGAGTGGTATAAGGAATGTGCTTCCACATGTACACAGTTCCCTGGATCTGGGGTGCAAGGTGTTGCCCCTGGATGTTAGGAAGCATCAGAGGGAGAGCAAGCAACAGAAACAGTTGAGATCTAGCTCAGGTCACACCCTGGAAGTACAAGCCCAGCTCCTGCAAGGGACCTCCTGCTGCTGCTCACATTCTGGGCCCTGAAATAACTTGTTTGGACATCAAGTTTCATGGTGAATTTACAGGCCATTCTGCTTTTAATTTGTCCATTTCTGTCCCTCCTTCAGCAAACACTTGGGCTGCTGACATCCTCAGAGTATGCAGCAAAGCTCCATGTTAGCATTGGGTGTCTTCCTGAGGTTGTAGGGATTGACAAGCCACGGACATTCAGCTGTGCTCAAACCAAGAGCTGCCCTGGTTGCCAGCTGATGGTAGCAGCAGTGCCTGACTTGGTCAGGCTCCATGCATACCTCTCAGACCTGGCTAAGGGAATAGGTAGTTTCACTTCCATCCCCTTCAGAGACGATACACATCTTCCAAGAAGACAAATGTGTTTTTTTACTGTGAAGAGGACTCATTTGAGAAAAGTTTCTTTTGTAGTGTGAGACATATTTTTGGATTCCCTGAACTGGGGCAAACTCTGGGTTTTGTAGGACAGCTTAGACTATCAGAAACAGTCAGGTCACTCAGAGCCAAGGGCAGAGAACAAGATATGCCACCAGAGGAGGGAGAAAGGCTGATTTCGATCAAGTCCAACTTGTGACTCTAAAGCAACACAGGTGAATTTTTGGAAAGGTTTACAAAGGGCTCTAAAGGCCATCTACAAAGAAAAGCCAAGCCTGAAAATGGCATGAGCTGGTAACTTCTTCAGAATGAGAGCACAGATGTACACTTCAAGGACCCATCTAAGTAAAATTCTTCTGATATTGAGGTCTAAACTGATCAAAGCCAAAGCAGTTACTTACTAGTCTCGCTTTTTAAAGGGTGTTGGTGGGGTCCCGAAGAGAAGGGGAAGAGGACCCTTGCAACTACAACCCACCCACTTTTTCCTCCCAGAAATGAAAAGAAGTGTGATGCAAAGGAGAAACTGAAAAATCATGCTGAAACTAATCATGAGCTCTGAGTGTATTACCAAGAGGTTGTTGATTATAAAAGAGAAACAAGAAACAAAACAGTAATTGGGATGGAGGTTAGAGATTACCATCTAGAAGATGCCTGTCAGAAGGGTTGGCAATTTGGAGGACAGACCACTGGCCAACTAATTGCTCCATCTTTGCCATCTCTTCTGACTGCCATCTCTGTGACAGCTGGAACTACAGTAAACAGTTTTGTAAATGTCTATATACTCAATACCACATTTTCAATACCTTGTTGGTGGAAGACAATGAGAAAAAAAGAGAAGCAAAACTTCAACAATCTGATCCTACCCCTGTGCACACATGAGAACCCTAGACTAAATAGAAAGCCACCTTACTGAAAGTGGATTGTCCTTAGGATTGGAGAAGCCAGCCCTCTCGTTATGCAAAATGACTATCTCAGAACTCTCACCTCCTAGTTCTCTGAACAGGAAGGAAGCATACCCATGGTTCTATAAGAGCCATTTCCTCTCTGCTCTATTAATTTCAGAGATTAGGTCTGTAGACCTAATACACCTAGATAACAGCCATTGTGTTTGCTGCAGCTCCTACTAACCAAGCTAATCTTGGAAGTTTAGCAATGTTGCAGGCTTTTATTGTCAAATTCAACCAACCAATGGCTTTCATGACCCCTTCTGTCATCCTGGATCCTAAACCTACTGCTGGAATCCTTAACTTGATTTTCCAACACATGGATGATGTCTGGATTCCAAGCAAGGAAAGTAGAAATTTGTCAAATTAGTTTTTAAAAAGATATGAAGGCCAAAGAGTTGAACGAAAATCTGTTTGAATACCTTATTTACTGCCTTCCTGTTCTCAGTGGTATTAGGAAGCTAATGCAATACATCTAGTGCCTGTCATTCCCACACTCCCGATTTCTATGAAGAAAAAAGTAAGCTTTCTTCCCTCTCACTTTTCTTCTCTTTCCATTTCAAGGGGTGCAGTGCAGAGATCACTGGTCTGGGAATCCAGTGGAGTCTTGGACTGTATGTCCTGATCTTCCAGAAACTCACAAGGGGCAGGGTCACCTCATCTCCTAGATCTCTTCTATGTCAGATTCCAGTTCATTATATTTTAGTTTGGTTTCCTGCCTTCAATTTTCACACAGAATTACTATAATGTATCTTACATTCAAGTTTAAGATTAGAAGCATTCAACACCCCCTTCCCCCAAATAGCCCATTGTCTGACCGATTCCTGGAACTTTCTGGGCTCCTGACGATTTCCCACCATGGCGATATGGGGAAGTATGTTCTTGATTACAAGCCGAGTCTTCCAGTCATCCATTGTTTGATCTGCAATTTTATTCTTGACTCTCCAAGGTGTTTTCCCAAATGACCTAGACACAGGGCTTAGGGAGACAAAAAATACACTGTCTTTCAGATAAGCAGAGACGAATGACCCCATGAATCACAGTCTTTCACTCTGAGGGACAGGTTTGGGTGGAGTCAGCCACATTCTTTTTCCTGCCTCTCTCCCCATTCCACCAATCTCATTGAGCCCCCCTCCCCCAAGACAAGGGGCACTTCTGTGAGACAGTTGGTTGGGATGGCCATAAGGCAGAGCCAAGTTCACTGGATTGCTGAGGGATGGGTGGAGGAGCAGCCAGGTGTAACTAAAATAACACTGAGATTAATGGCAGGGGATGTGGGTCCTAGGTAGGGCTTTGGTTTTGCGTGGTATGCAGTAAGGTCTATGGAATAGCTCTTCTGTTGTTGACATAGCTTTTTTATATGAAAACCTTGTTGGTTAGATCAGGTGATGGTTTATGGCTGGCCCCTTCGGCTCTACTGGAGCAAGCCATATGGCCCATAGAAAGAGCAGCTCCCACTCCTGCCCTTGTTAACACCCAGCTAAGTGAGCTAACAGTTCATAACCTGACAGTCAGTGGAAAGAAGCAATGCATGTTGGAAGGGGCTCATGAAATCCCAGTGCACTGGTTTACAAAAAATTAACCGAGCAGGCTGTGATACTGGCTACCCCAATGTATACCCTCCATGAGAGATGAGAAGACATGTACAAATTCAGGTAAAGCTGTTTTTTTACATTTCGTTTTGTTTCATTTGTTTTTCGTGATGTAGACATGAAATAAGAGCCCTGCTGAGGCATTCATATATGAGGGTAACACTTCTTCCCATAAATCTCCTTGGCATTATAGAATCAGGCTCTAAAATTTCAATGTCCAGACTTCTGACTGGAAAAATGGAGAAGTACTTTTCCCATCTTCACACTGAGTACAAATAAAACCTCTAGACATTATATATAAAACAAACTTAAGAAGACACTGGAAGGTGGAGATATAAAGGTAGACTAGATAGGAACTTGGGACCTGAGGAACGACATGGTGGTGAGTTCCCTGGGTTTTCTTTTTGCTTCAAAAATACCAGATGTGGACCTGGAGAAGACCACAACCCAAAATGCCAATGGGCACAAACAAAAAGTCCCCAGAAAAATCCTGCTCTCTTTAGATAAAGTACCAGGAAGGGAGCAGCCTGCCAAGACAGAGAACTTTTATATAAGAACTGTTCTGATTTAGCTAAACACCACAGGAAAAAAAGTGTGGTTCTCCACTCCCCGGTTCCATCAGCAAAAGCCAAGGAGGGGACTCGACTCCACCCCCACCTGGCAGTAATGATTCATCTCTCCCTGTCCCTGCTAAGCTGGTATCAGAGTAAGCCTAACAGAGAGTAAGGTAATGAGTCCACATCTCATCCTCACCAATGTCAGTGGAAATCACATGGGGAACAGTAATGAGGCAGTCCGACCCATCCCAGCCATGGTGGCATCAGTGGAAGCTTAGTGGGGAGCTGGAACTATCACCACTGCTCAGCAGTAATGAGGAGCCCAAACCTACCTAGTGTCAATGAAGGCCAAGTGGGAAACCTGGATTTCTATACCTACATGGCAGAAATGAGATGGTGCCTCCCTTTCCTGCTGGAGCATTGTCAGAGGAAGTTAGCTAAAACAGATATAAATAAATGCTGATGTAACAGAACTGTCAACCCAGAATCTTATACCCAATGAAAATAGGCTTCAAGTATGGAAGGGAAATCAAGACATTACCAGGTGAAGAAAAATGAGGATTTTTTTTAACAACAGACCTCTCCTAAGAGAACGGCTAAAGGAAGTTCTCTAAACAAAAAGGAAGTGATAAAAGAAAGATTTTTGGACATCACAAAGGAGAAAAGAACAATGGAAAAATGAAAAGATATGAGTAATTATAACAGACTTTTCTTCTCCTCTCAAGTTTTCTAAATCATCTTTGATGCTTGAAGTACCAATCGTAACATTGCATGTTGTGGTTCTAAAAGTATGTGGAAGTGGGGAAGTAACACAGTTACATTATGAACAGGGGAGGGTAAAGAGGTAGAAAGATAAGAAAGATTTCTATATTTCACTGGAACCGGTAACATGTTAACACATGTAGATTGTCATAAGTTATGTATAAATGATGTAATATCTAGAGCAGCCACTAAAAATGGTATACAAAAAAATACATGCAAAAACACGATACATGAATCATCAAATGCAATTCTAAAAAATGTTCATGTAACCCATGGGGAGTCAGGAAAAAGAAAATAGAGAAAAAAAAAACCAGAATAAACAGAAAATAAAAATAAATTGGCAGAATTTAGCACTAACATCATTAAGTTAAAATTATCTAACTACAACAATTAAAACACACAGACTGGAAGAGTGGATAATAAGAGATGACCCAACTATATACTGTCTGCAAGATGCTCACCTCAGCACTTTTTTGTTTGTTGATTTATTGATGGTAGCCACTCAGGCAGGTGGTTTTAATTTGTATGTCTGATTATTAGTGACATGGAGCATTTTTTCATATGTCTATTGCCCTTTCATATGTCTCTTTGTATGGTCCTTTGCTTATTTTTTAGTTAGACTGTTTGTCTCCCTGGTGTGGAGTTGTATAAGTTCTTTATATATTTTGGATATTAATCCCTTATCAGATGTATCATTGGCCAATATGTTCCCTTATACAGTAGGTTCTATTTTCATTTTGTTGATGGTTTCTTTTGCTGTGCAGAAGCTTTTTAATTTGATGTAGTCCCATTTGCTTATTTTTTCTTTGTTTCCCTTGCCAAAGGAGATGTATCAGCAAAAATATCGCTTTGTGAGATGTCTGAAATTTTACTGTATGTTTTCTTCTAGGATTTTTATGGTTTCATGACTTTATTTAAGCCTTTTATCCATTTTGAGTTTATTCTTGTGTATGGTATAAGTTGGTGGTCTAGTTCCTTTTTTTTTGCATGTACCTGTCCAATTTTCCCAGCACCATTTATTAAAGAGACTGTCTTTACTCCATTGAATGCTGTTGCCTCCTTTGTCAAATATTAATTGACCATAAAGGCATGGGTTAATTTCTGGGCTTTCTGTGTTCCATTGATCTAATTGCCTGTTTTTGTGCCAGTACCAGGCTGTTTTGATTATAGTGGCTTTGTAGTATAGCTTGATATCTGGTATTGTGATCCCACCAAGTTTGTTCTTCTTTCTCAAGATTATTGACTCTATTTGGGGTCTTTTTTGGTTCCATATAAGTTTTTGGAATATTTGTTCTAGATCTGTGAAATATGCCATTGGTATTTTAATAAGAATTAATGATGTTAATTCTTCCAATCCATGAGCATGGTATATGCCTCCACTAGTTTATATCTCCCTCTAGATCTAATAATGATTGTATGAAATCAAATATATCATCTCAAATAAATGATATTTTAAGGTATCTGTAATGTGATGTGAAAAAAAATCTGTAATTTCTTTTGGTGGCAAAGTCACATACTGGTAAAACTACTGTGGTTTGTTACCTACATTTATAATAAAAGGAAATGGTAATTTTAATTAGAGATTGGAAAATATAAAGGTATAATCCCTTCCCCCCCCAAATTGTATGTCAGCTATAGTTAGAAAATAAGTTAAAAACAAAAACAAAAATATATTGAACTGAATGAAAATACAATATATCAAAACTTGTGGGATACATGTAAAGCTATGCTGAGAAGGAAATTTATAGCACTAAATACAGTAGAAATGAGAAAAAGTCTAAAATCAATCATAGAAGTTTCCACCTAACAATCCAAAGGGGAAAAAAGAACAGCTAAATTAACCCAAAGCAAACACAACGAAGGGAATATTTTTTAAAAACCCAGATATTATTATTGAAATACTGTAAACAGAAAAAAAATAATGAAACCCAATTGGAAAAAGGTAATTCTCTGAAAAAAATAACAAAAATTTAACCCTAGCAGATTTTGCTCAGTGGTTAGAGCATTGGCCCATGGACTGAAGGGTCCCAGGTTTGATCATTATGGCCAAGGGCATGTACCTTGGTTGCAGGCTCAATCCCAGGCCCTGGTTGGGGCACATGAGGAAGGCAACCAATCAGTGTGTCTCACATCACTGTTTCTCTCTCTCTCCCTTCCACTCTCTCTTAAAAGCAATGGAAAAAGTATCCTCGGGTGAGGATTAAAATAATAATAATAAATAAATAAATAAATAATAATAATAATTTAAAAGCCTCTAGCAAGACTGACAAAGGGAAGAAAGGGAAAATACAAATTACCAATATTGGAATGAAAAGGGGGATATTACTACTGACTCTGTAGACATGTAAAATATAATAAAGGAATACTACAAACAACTCTACACACATACATTTAGATGAAATTAGATGAAACAAACCAATTATTCTAAAAGCTCAAACTACCAAAATTGACCCAATATGAAATAACCTTACCAGCCTTACTTATAATTACTAAAGTAATTAAATTCATAACTTTAAAAAAATCTCCAGAAAATGAAAACCCCAAGGAGTGATGGTTTTATTAGAGAATTATACCAGTTGTTTAAAAAAGAATTAGCACCAATCCTACATAATCTTTTTAGAAAATAGAAGAAGGAACACTTCCCAACTCACTGTGTTACTGACACCAAAGACAAAGACTGTACAAAACAACAGCCTAATATTTCTCATGCATATAGACACAAAAATTCTTAACAAAGTTTTAGCAATTTATGAGAAAAATTATGCACTAAGATCAAGTTGGGTTTATTCTAGGGATGCAAGGCTGATTCAGTATTTGAAAGCCACCCCACATTATCCACCATACTAACAGGCAAAAGAATGACAATCATGTGATTACCTTAAGACAATATTGAAAAGGAAGAACAAATTAGAAGATTCATACTTTCCAATTTAAAAACTTAGTATAAAGCTACAGTAATCAAAACAATATGGTACTGGCATAAGGACAGACATATAAGCTAATGAAATAGGCTTGAGAATCCAGAAGTAAACCCATAAGTTTATAGTCAACTGATATTCAA